AGTCCGACGCTATTATTATCTGCCGCTGTGGATCGTAATGTGTTAGCGATAATCTGAAGTTAGTATTTTTTTTTTGATTCCTTCGAAAGCTTTTTGATATTCTGCCGACCAATTCCATTTCATAGCCTTCTTAAGTAAATTATTCAGAGGTGCACGCAATTTGTACATCTCTGGCACATAATCATTATAATAATTTGCTTATGTTTTGTAAATCTCTCTGCGTAGCAGCAGTCATAAAACAGTTCTCTGCGTCCTGAATAGCAACCGGGTTTGCTAGGCATAGCCACCCTATGTTTGCTATCTGTTCTCTATTTATACTTGTCTATCTAATTTACATAGGATACTACATTCCTATTCTGAGAAATGTGGGTAGGGTTACCAAATTTGTCGTGGGAGGCATATCTTTAATGACACTTGTTCTAGCGGGATCTGGTCTTCTTCCTTTTTCGTCGATTATCTGATCTAAATATTTGATCTGATCTAAATATTTGATCTGATCTGACATTTCTGTTCACTGAGTTTAAAACCGTCATCATGCAGCCTCTGAGATACTTGCTGAATCAGTTTTACGTGCTGTATTTTCGTAGCGCTCTTAATAAGTATATAATAATAATCTATGTAGGCGACAACACCATCTAGTCCAGCCAACATCGTTTCCATTATTTTCTGGGGCTACTTTTACAGCGAAGGGTAATCTTTTAAATGTGTAGAGTCCTTTATATATAATTATAATCAAATACTTCTAGCATTCCTCACCCATTTCCATTTGAAGATATGCCTCAGAGAGGTCAATTTTTTAAAATATTACCTCCATTTAATTTGGCAAATATATCCTCTGAACTTGGAGGGGAATATACATGTGATAGGAGGCAGTCATCCAACCCAGTCGAAAAATCTGCACATAAACGAATATTATTATTTTTCTTTCTAATATAAACCGCTGGCTTTGCCCATTCTGAATAATCTTTTTATCAAGTTCGGTGTTAATAGTGATAATAGACTCTAACCAAGCAAAGTGTATCATTCGTGTTCACTAAAAAACTGGTATCACATTTTCTTTTAATCTGAAAAATACCTTTGAATTTTTATATTTTCCAAACTCCTCTGAGAAAATTTTGAAAAATGAGTTTACTCAGTGTTTCTTTAGCTGCAATCTTTTTCTCTGACTAACAATCAATTTTTCCGCAGAATGAATTAATCGGCCAATTTTCATAGTTCAAATAATTCTAGCCAATCGACGCCTAGTAAATTTGTGTTGGAATTTTTTAATATGTAAACATCTGCTTTTTTAGTTTTACCCGCAAGAGCGATGTTGCACGTAATTTTTCCAAGAAAAATTAATTTCTTGCCCGATATTCCTCTTACAACTTTGTCGGATTTTTTTTTCAAGTTAAGCTTGACAATTCTGTTCCAAGTTTGTTCATTAATAATTGTAATATCGTTACCTGTGTCCAATTGAAATCTCATCGTAGCATTATTCAATTTTAATGTCACGAATTTTCTAGTATTTGAACATTTTTTACCTGGTAGCACTACATTCAGCAACTTAAATTGTGTATTTGTTTTGATTTTAGACTTGTAGTAGCTTCGTTTGAGACCTGTTTTTGAACAATTAAAACATTTTTGGTATTAAATAGACAGTTCTTTCTGAACTGAGGCATTCCACAGTCATGGCATGGGTTAAGTTTGACAGTATTTTTCTTTCTAGTTACTTTTTTTTTTTTTTTTTTTGGTACTAGTATCTTTTTTCGAACTACTGGTACTTCTGGGATGACATTTTATTCGATTTTCTCAGTATCGTGCCTTAAATTAACAAATTGTTTGCACTCTTCCACCACAGTCTATATCGCTAACTTTGAATACTATTCAAATTTTGTAAGGATTCGAAAGCGAATTTCCTCATCTTTGCTTGATGTTAGACCTTTAACGAAGACTAGACATTTAAATCTGTCTGGAAATAGTGTGTCCAATTTAAATTTCTCACTCTCACAGATGACTTTACCGGCATGTGACCAAATCTTCATTTCCGTCCTTAGTAATTTTCATACATTGTTAACGTGAATAAAAAGTAAATTCTTTTCAACGAAAATTTTTGATAATATCGACACTGTTTCGTTAAATGATACTTTTTCTGGAGTATTCGGTAAAATGAAATTCGCATATTTTTCATGTTCAGCGGGATACAATTTTCGTAACAGAGGACGACCATCCTTGACATTCTTCTCTGTAAATGGTCTCTTACCTTCTGAAGTACGAGATGAATGTAATGTTTTCTGGAACGAAATTAAATTCACTATTTGAGTTAGCCACTGAGTCCGGCGAAAATGAAGTGTTGACGCATTGTCTGTTCTTTACTTTTCCAGGATTGCCTTCAACTGTTCTGGATATTCAATCCGTTCCCGCTACACTTGTAATACTTGATGAATAATTATCTTCAATTCTTCCATATTGTTTTATTTTCATACAAATAGTTCTTAACAAGGAAGAAAAAGTGTTTTTTTTTTTCCAATAGCATTATATCATGCACCCATGTAATTTATTGGTATCCACGTCGCCTTATGGATATACACGAATTCCACAAAATGCTTTATCATGAATTTTCAATGTTCTTCGCCAACTGTTTATGCTAAGCAACAGCAAAAAATGTTTGTTTTTTTATTTTTCGCGTGATTTCGAAACCTCGTCACCACTGTTATGTCTTCATTCCATCGAATAAGGATAACACAATCATGACATATGATGTCGTTTGGAATCGACGTAGTCTTACTGAATTCTGTAGTAAGGATATAAGGTTCGCTCCCGGCTAGTTCTCTCCTGGCGATTCTCGGTATCAGTATACAGGGTGCGATGGATAAATTGTCGTCTAAATTGCTCAAAAATGGAAATAACATTGATATTTCATTTTAACATTTACCAAAATTATACAAAAATAATCTTGAAATACAAAGTAAATTTATTCAATAAAATCGTCATTGGCATCAACCACGGCCATTAGATGACTTCCGAATCTCCTGTAACTCTTCTGCATCGTCTCCTTGTTTAAGTTGGTGATTGCTGCTATAATCCTCGCCTCCAGTTCATCTTTGGTGTTACAAGGAGTTTTTGACAGCCATGATTGGGATTTTCTGATTGTGTGTAATAGCACAGAGTCATGTTGCCAGACATAGGGTCTTCCAGCAGTCACCCTCTTGACCAAGGGCAGCACTACCTCCCCAAGGCACTTGATATAGGCCTCCGTGTTGATTCCGAGGCCATGTGGGAAGATGAATGGAGGCATAACGTCGCCATCACGAGTGATCACTGCAAATACCATGATGTTGATATCATTCAACTCTTTCCGAATCCTCTGCACTGCCCTCAGATTGACACCCAAACACTATGAAATGTTCGGACTGGAACTTCTGGCGCGAATGCCAAGCAGTACAACATACCGTCCATATTTCTGGCGGAGTGAATTGCGTCATGGTGCTCTTTTTTCTCACAGACGGTGCCCAACTGACCCCACTATACTATGCAGTCGAAAAAACAAAACAAAAAAAAACAATGCGTATGCGCAAAATTAAAATTATAAAATGGCGACAATTTACCCATCGCAACCTGTATATGGTGTTTGGACGAGTCCAAGACATATTCTGTTGAGGTGTGGTCAGCATGGTGCAATAGATATAGAGCAATAGATATATTGTTTTATTGTTTGTTTATTCGTTTTCTATGGCTTATCAACGCTTTGCAGGTTATTTAAAGCCAGAAAATATTTTGAAATAGTAAGAATCTTTTTTTTTTAGATAATAATGGTTTAGTGATACAAGTCTTACTTAGTAACCCATAGCTGGGGGAAAAGAGATGAATTCATACTTTTCCTAAGTGTATTTGCACGTAAGCAAATATAATTAAACCAACTCGACTCAACGATTAACAAATCTGAACCATTACCTTCATTCAAGGTTACAATACCTGGTATTCCCAAGCGGTCACCCATCTAGGTACTGATCAGGCTCGACTTTGCTTAACTTCGATGATCGTACGGGAACTGGTCTTTCAACATGACGCTCACATCCCACTTTACTGTACCTGGCATTCCCATGCGGTCACCCATCTAGGTACTGATCAGGCTCAACGTTGCTTAACTTCGATGATCGTACGGGAACTGGTGTTTCAACATGACCCTCACATCCCAACTTACTGTACCTGGCATTCCCAAGCGGTCACCCATCTAGGTACTGATCAGGCTCAACGTTGCTTTAACTTCGATGATCGTACGGGAACTGGTGTTTCAACATGACCCTCACATCCCAACTTACTGTACCTGGTATTCCCAAGCGGTCACCCATCTAGGTACTGATCAGGCTCGACGTTGCTTAACTTCGATGATTGTACGGGAACTGGTGTTTCAACATGACCCTCACATCCCAACTTACTGTACCTGGTATTCCCAAGCGGTCACCCATCTAGGTACTGATCAGGCTCAACGTTGCTTAACTTCGATGATCGTACGGGAACTGGTGTTTCAACATGACCCTCACATCCCAACTTACTGTACCTGGTATTCCCAAGCGGTCACCCATCTAGGTACTGATCAGGCTCGACTTTGCTTAACTTCGATGATCGTACGGGAACTGGTGTTTCAACATGACCCTCACATCCCAACTTACTGTACCTGGTATTCCCAAGCGGTCACCCATCTAGGTACTGATCAGGCTCAACGTTGCTTAACTTCGATGATCGTACGGGAACTGGTGTTTCAACATGACCCTCACATCCCAACTTACTGTACCTGGTATTCCCAAGCGGTCACCCATCTAGGTACTGATCAGGCTCGACGTTGCTTAACTTCGATGATCGTACGGGAACTGGTGTTTCAACATGACCCTCACATCCCAACTTACTGTACCTGGTATTCCCAAGCGGTCACCCATCTAGGTACTGATCAGGCTCAACGTTGCTTAACTTCGATGATCGTACGGGAACTGGTGTTTCAACATGACCCTCACATCCCAACTTACTGTACCTGGTATTCCCAAGCGGTCACCCATCTAGGTACTGATCAGGCTCGACGTTGTTTAACTTCGATGATCGTACGGGAACTGGTGTTTCAACATGACGCTCACATCCCAACTTACTGTACCTGGCATTCCCAAGCGGTCACCCATCTAGGTACTGATCAGGCTCAACGTTGCTTAACTTCGATGATCGTACGGGAACTGGTCTTTCAACATGACGCTCACATCCCAACTTACTGTACCTGGTATTCCCAAGCGGTCACCCATCTAGGTACTGATCAGGCTCAACGTTGCTTAACTTCGATGATCGTACGGGAACTGGTCTTTCAACATGACGCTCACATCCCAACTTACTGTACCTGGCATTCCCAAGCGGTCACCCATCTAGGTACTGATCAGGCTCAACGTTGCTTAACTTCGATGATCGTACGGGAACTGGTGTTTCAACATGACCCTCACATCCCAACTTACTGTACCTGGTATTCCCAAGCGGTCACCCATCTAGGTACTGATCAGGCTCAACGTTGCTTAACTTCGATGATCGTACGGGAACTGGTGTTTCAACATGACCCTCACATCCCAACTTACTGTACCTGGTATTCCCAAGCGGTCACCCATCTAGGTACTGATCAGGCTCGACGTTGCTTAACTTCGATGATCGTACGGGAACTGGTGTTTCAACATGACGCTCACATCCCAACTTACTGTACCTGGCATTCCCAAGCGGTCACCCATCTAGGTACTGATCAGGCTCGACGTTGCTTAACTTCGATGATCGTACGGGAACTGGTCTTTCAACATGACGCTCACATCCCAATTTACTGTACCTGGTATTCCCAAGCGGTCACCCATCTAGGTACTGATCAGGCTCAACGTTGATTAACTTCGATGATCGTACGGGAACTGGTCTTTCAACATGACGCTCACATCCCAACTTACTGTACCTGGCATTCCCCAAGCGGTCACCCATCTAGGTACTGATCAGGCTCGACGTTGCTTAACTTCGATGATCGTACGGGAACTGGTGTTTCAACATGACCCTCACATCCCAACTTACTGTACCTGGTATTCCCAAGCGGTCACCCATCTAGGTATGATCAGGCTCGACGTTGCTTAACTTCGATGATCGTACGGGAACTGGTGTTTCAACATGACGCTCACATCCCAACTTTACTGTACCTGGTATTCCCAAGCGGTCACCCATCTAGGTACTGATCAGGCTCGACGTTGCTTAACTTCGATGATCGTACGGGAACTGGTGTTTCAACATGACGCTCATCCAACTTACTGTACCTGGCATTCCCAAGCGGTCACCCATCTCGGTACTGATCAGGCTCGACGTTGCTTAACTTCGATGATCGTACGGGAACTGGTCTTTCAACATGACGCTCACATCCAACTTACTGTACCTGGTATTCCCCAAGCGGTCACCCATCTAGGTACTGATCAGGCTCGACGTTGCTTAACTTCGATGATCGTACGGGAACTGGTGTTTCAACATGACGCTCACATCCCAACTTACTGTACCTGGTATTCCCAAGCGGTCACCCATCTAGGTACTGATCAGGCTCAACGTTGCTTAACTTCGATGATCGTACGGGAACTGGTGTTTCAACATGACGCTCACATCCAACTTACTGTACCTGGTATTCCCAAGCGGTCACCCATCTAGGTACTGATCAGGCTCGACGTTGCTTAACTTCGATGATCGTACGGGAACTGGTCTTTCAACATGACGCTCACATCCCAACTTACTGTACCTGGCATTCCCAAGCGGTCACCCATCTAGGTACTGATCAGGCTCGACGTTGCTTAACTTCGATGATCGTACGGGAACTGGTCTTTCAACATGACCCAACTCACATCCAACTTACTGTACCTGGCATTCCCCAAGCGGTCACCCATCAAGGTACTGATCAGGCTCGACGTTGTTTAACTTCGATGATCGTACGGGAACTGGTGTTTCAACATGACGCTCACATCCCAACTTACTGTACCTGGTATTCCCAAGCGGTCACCCATCTAGGTACTGATCAGGCTCGACGTTGCTTAACTTCGATGATCGTACGGGAACTGGTGTTTCAACATGACGCTCATCCCAACTTACTGTACCTGGCATTCCCAAGCGGTCACCCATCTAGGTACTGATCAGGCTCGACGTTGCTTAACTTCGATGATCGTACGGGAACTTGTGTTTCAACATGACGCTCACATCCCAACTTACTGTACCTGGCATTCCCAAGCGGTCACCCATCTAGGTACTGATCAGGCTCGACGTTGCTTAACTTCGATGATCGTACGGGAACTGGTGTTTTCAACATGACCCTCACATCCCAACTTACTGTACCTGGCATTCCCAAGCGGTCACCCATCTAGGTACTGATCAGGCTCGACGTTGCTTAACTTCGATGATCGTACGGGAACTGGTGTTTCAACATGACCCTCACATCCCAACTTACTGTACCTGGTATTCCCAAGCGGTCACCCATCTAGGTACTGATCAGGCTCAACGTTGCTTAACTTCGATGATCGTACGGGAACTGGTGTTTCAACATGACGCTCACATCCCAACTTACTGTACCTGGTATTCCCAAGCGGTCACCCATCTAGGTACTGATCAGGCTCGACGTTGCTTAACTTCGATGATCGTACGGGAACTGGTGTTTCAACATGACGCTCACATCCCAACTTACTGTACCTGGCATTCCCAAGCGGTCACCCATCTAGGTACTGATCAGGCTCGACGTTGCTTAACTTCGATGATCGTACGGGAACTGGTCTTTCAACATGACGCTCACATCCCAACTTACTGTACCTGGCATTCCCCAAGCGGTCACCCATCTAGGTACTGATCAGGCTCGACGTTGCTTAACTTCGATGATCGTACGGAACTGGTGTTTCAACATGACCCTCACATCCAACTTACTGTACCTGGTATTCCCAAGCGGTCACCCATCTAGGTACTGATCAGGCTCGACGTTGCTTAACTTCGATGATCGTACGGGAACTGGTCTTTCAACATGACGCTCACATCCAACTTACTGTACCTGGCATTCCCAAGCGGTCACCCATCTAGGTACTGATCAGGCTCGACGTTGCTTAACTTCGATGATCGTACGGGAACTGGTTTTTCAACATGACCCTCACATCCCAACTTACTGTACCTGGTATTCCCAAGCGGTCACCCATCTAGGTACTGATCAGGCTCGACGTTGCTTAACTTCGATGATCGTACGGGAACTGGTCTTTCAACATGACGCTCATCCCAACTTACTGTACCTGGTATTCCCAAGCGGTCACCCATCTAGGTACTGATCAGGCTCGACGTTGCTTAACTTCGATGATCGTACGGGAACTGGTCTTTCAACATGACGCCTCACATCCCAACTTACTGTACCTGGTATTCCCAAGCGGTCACCCATCTAGGTACTGATCAGGCTCGACGTTGCTTAACTTCGATGATCGTACGGGAACTGGTCTTTCAACATGACCCTCACATCCCAACTTACTGTACCTGGTATTCCCAAGCGGTCACCCATCTAGGTACTGATCAGGCTCGACGTTGCTTAACTTCGATGATCGTACGGGAACTGGTGTTTCAACATGACGCTCACATCCCAACTTACTGTACCTGGTATTCCCCAAGCGGTCACCCATCTAGGGTACTGATCAGGCTCGACGTTGCTTAACTTCGATGATCGTACAGGAACTGGTGTTTCAACATGACCCTCACATCCCAACTTACTGTACCTGGTATTCCCAAGCGGTCACCCATCTAGGTACTGATCAGGCTCGACGTTGCTTAACTTCGATGATCGTACGGGAACTGGTGTTTCAACATGACCCCTCACATCCCAACTTACTGTACCTGGTATTCCCAAGCGGTCACCCATCTAGGTACTGATCAGGCTCGACGTTGCTTAACTTCGATGATCGTACGGGAACTGGTCTTTCAACATGACGCTCACATCCCAATTTACTGTACCTGGTATTCCCAAGCGGTCACCCATCTAGGTACTGATCAGGCTCAACGTTGATTAACTTCGATGATCGTACGGGAACTGGTTGTTTCAACATGACCCTCACATCCCAACTTACTGTACCTGGCATTCCCAAGCGGTCACCCATCTAGGTACTGATCAGGCTCGACGTTGCTTAACTTCGATGATCGAACGGGAACTTGTGTTTCAACATGACCCTCACATCCCAACTTACTGTACCTGGTATTCCCAAGCGGTCACCCATCTAGGTACTGATCAGGCTCGACGTTGCTTAACTTCGATGATCGTACGGGAACTGGTGTTTCAACATGACCCTCACATCCCAACTTACTGTACCTGGCATTCCCAAGCGGTCACCCATCTAGGTACTGATCAGGCTCGACGTTGCTTAACTTCGATGATCGTACGGGAACTGGTGTTTCAACATGACGCTCACATCCCAACTGTACCTGGTACCCAAGCGGTCACCTGGCTCGACGTTGCTTACTTCGATTCCCAAGCGGTCACCCATCCCAACTAGGTACCTGGTATCAGGCCCATCGACGTTGCTTAACTTCGATGATCGTACGGGAACTGGTGTTTCAACATGACGCTCACATCCCAACTTACTGTACCTGGCATTCCCAAGCGGTCACCCATCTAGGTACTGATCAGGCTCGACGTTGCTTAACTTCGATGATCGTACGTACGGAACTGGTGTTTCAACATGACGCTCACATCCCAACTTACTGTACCTGGCATTCCCAAGGGTCACCCATCTAGGTACTGATCAGGCTCGACGTTGCTTAACTTCGATGATCGTACGGGAACTGGTGTTTCAACATGACGCTCACATCCCAACTTACTGTACCTGGCATTCCCAAGCGGTCACCCATCTAGGTACTGATCAGGCTCGACGTTGCTTAACTTCGATGATCGTACGGGAACTGGTGTTTCAACATGACCCTCACATCCCAACTTACTGTACCTGGTATTCCCAAGCGGTCACCCATCTAGGTACTGATCAGGCTCAACGTTGCTTAACTTCGATGATCGTACGGGAACTGGTCTTTCAACATGACGCTCACATCCCAACTTACTGTACCTGGCATTCTCAAGCGGTCACCCATCTAGGTACTGATCAGGCTCGACGTTGCTTCACTTCGATGATCGTACGGGAACTGGTGTTTCAACATGACCCTCACATCCCAACTTACTGTACCTGGTTTTCCCCCAAGGGTCACCCATCTAGGTACTTTCAGGCTCGACGTTGCTTAACTTCGATGATCGTACGGGAACTGGTGTTTCAACATGACGCTCACATCCCAACTTACTGTACCTGGCATTCCCCAAGCGGTCACCCATCTAGGTACTGATCAGGCTCGACGTTGCTTAACTTCGATGATCGTACGGGAACTGGTCCTTCAACATGACGCTCACATCCAACTTACTGTACCTGGAACTATTCCCAAGCGGTCACCCATCTAGGTACTGATCAGGCTCGACGTTGCTTAACTTCGATGATCGTACGGGAACTGGTCTTTCAACATGACGCTCACATCCAACTTACTGTACCTGGTATTCCCCAAGCGGTCACCCATCTAGGTACTGATCTCGACGGCTCGACGTTGCTTAACTTACGATGATCGTACGGGAACTGGTGTTTCAACATGACCCTCACATCCCAACTTACTGTACCTGGTATTCCCAAGCGGTCACCCATCTAGGTACTGATCAGGCTCGACGTTGCTTAACTTCGATGATCGTACGGGAACTGGTGTTTCAACATGACCCTCACATCCCAACTTACTGTACCTGGTATTCCCAAGCGGTCACCCATCTAGGTACTGATCAGGCTCAACGTTGCTTAACTTCGATGATCGTACGGGAACTGGTCTTTCAACATGACGCCTCATCCCAACTTACTGTACCTGGCATTCTCAAGCGGTCACCCATCTAGGTACTGATCAGGCTCGACGTTGCTTCACTTCGATGATCGTACGGGAACTGGTGTTTCAACATGACCCTCACATCCCAACTTACTGTACCTGGTTTTCCCAAGCGGTCACCCATCTAGGTACTGATCAGGCTCGACGTTGCTTAACTTCGATGATCGTACGGGAACTGGTGTTTCAACATGACGCTCACATCCCAACTTACTGTACCTGGCATTCCCAAGCGGTCACCCATCTAGGTACTGATCAGGCTCGACGTTGCTTAACTTCGATGATCGTACGGGAACTGGTCCTTCAACATGACGCTCACATCCAACTTACTGTACCTGGTATTCCCAAGCGGTCACCCATCTAGGTACTGATCAGGCTCGACGTTGCTTAACTTCGATGATCGTACGGGAACTGGTCTTTCAACATGACGCTCACATCCAACTTACTGTACCTGGTATTCCCAAGCGGTCACCCATCTAGGTACTGATCTGGCTCGACTTTGCTTAACTTCGATGATCGTACGGGAACTGGTGTTTCAACATGACCCTCACATCCCAACTTACTGTACCTGGTATTCCCAAGCGGTCACCCATCTAGGTACTGATCAGGCTCAACGTTGCTTAACTTCGATGATCGTACGGGAACTGGTCTTTCAACATGACGCTCACATCCCAACTTACTGTACCTGGTATTCCCAAGCGGTCATCCATCTAGGTACTGATCAGGCTCGAAGTTGCTTAACTTCGATGATCGTACGGGAACTGGTCGTTTCAACATGACCCTCACATCCCAACTTACTGTACCTGGTATTCCCAAGCGGTCACCCATCTAGGTACTGATCAGGCTCGACGTTGCTTAATCTTCGATGATCGTACCTGGTATTCCAAGGGTCAACTGGTGTTTCAACATGACCCTCACATCCCAACTTACTGTACCTGGCATTCCCAAGCGGTCACCCATCTAGGTACTGATCAGGCTCGACGTTGCTTAACTTCGATGATCGTACGGGAACTGGTGTTTCAACATGACCCTCACATCCCAACTTACTGTACCTGGTATTCCCAAGCGGTCACCCATCTAGGTACTGATCAGGCTCGACGTTGCTTAACTTCGATGATCGTACGGGAACTGGTGTTTCAACATGACCCTCACATCCCAACTTACTGTACCTGGTATTCCCAAGCGGTCACCCATCTAGGTACTGATCAGGCTCGACGTTGCTTAACTTCGATGATCGTACGGGAACTGGTCTTTCAACATGACGCTCACATCCCAATTTACTGTACCTGGTATTCCCAAGCGGTCACCCATCTAGGTACTGATTAGGCTCAACGTTGCTTAACTTCGATGATCGTACGGGAACTGGTCTTTCAACATGACGCTCACATCCCAACTTACTGTACCTGGCATTCCCAAGCGGTCACCCATCTAGGTACTGATCAGGCTCGACGTTGCTTAACTTCGATGATCGAACGGGAACTGGTGTTTTCAACATGACCCTCACATCCCAACTTACTGTACCTGGTATTCCCAAGCGGTCACCCATCTAGGTACTGATCAGGCTCGACGTTGCTTAACTTCGATGATCGTTTTGGGAACTGGTGTTTCAACATGACCCTCACATCCCAACTTACTGTACCTGGTATTCCCAAGCGGTCACCCATCTAGGTACTGATCAGGCTCGACGTTGCTTAACTTCGATGATCGTACGGGAACTGGTGTTTCAACATGACGCTCACATCCCAACTTACTGTACCTGGCATTCCCAAGCGGTCACCCATCTAGGTAATACTGATCAGGCTCGACGTTGCTTAACTTCGATGATCGTACGGGAACTGGTGTTTCAACATGACGCTCACATCCAACTTACTGTACCTGGTATTCCCAAGCGGTCACCCATCTAGGTACTGATCAGGCTCGACGTTGCTTAACTTCGATGATCGTACGGGAACTGGTGTTTCAACATGACCCTCACATCCCAACTTACTGTACCTGGTATTCCCAAGCGGTCACCCATCTAGGTACTGATCAGGCTCAACGTTGCTTAACTTCGATGATCGTACGGGAACTGGTCTTTCAACATGACGCTCACATCCAACTTACTGTACCTGGTATTCCCAAGCGGTCACCCATCTAGGTACTGATCAGGCTCAACGTTGCTTAACTTCGATGATCGTACGGAACTGGTCTTTCAACATGACGCTCACATCCCAACTTACTGTACCTGGCATTCCCAAGCGGTCACCCATCTAGGTACTGATCAGGCTCAACGTTGCTTAACTTCGATGATCGTACGGGAACCGGTCTTTCAACATGACGCTCACATCCAACTTACTGTACCTGGCATTCCCAAGCGGTCACCCATCTAGGTACTGATCAGGCTCGACGTTGCTTAACTTCGATGATCGTACGAACTGGTCTTTCAACATGACGCTCACATCCAACTTACTGTACCTGGTATTCCCAAGCGGTCACCCATCTAGGTACTGATCAGGCTCAACGTTGCTTAACTTCGATGATCGTACGGGAACTGGTCTTTCAACATGACGCTCACATCCCAACTTACTGTACCTGGCATTCCCAAGCGGTCACCCATCTAGGTACTGATCAGGCTCGACGTTGCTTAACTTCGATGATCGTACGGGAACTTGTGTTTCAACATGACCCTCACATCCCAACTTACTGTACCTGGTATTCCCAAGCGGTCACCCATCTGGTAGGTACTGATCAGGCTCGACGTTGCTTAACTTCGATGATCGTACGGGAACTGGTGTTTCAACATGACGCTCACATCCCAACTTACTGTACCTGGATGATCGTCCCAAGCGGTCACCCATCTAGGTACTGATCAGGCTCGACGTTGCTTAACTTCGATGATCGTACGGGAACTTGTGTTTCAACATGACCCTCACATCCCAACTTACTGTACCTGGTATTCCCAAGCGGTCACCCATCTAGGTACTGATCAGGCTCGACGTTGCTTAACTTCGATGATCGTACGGGAACTGGTGTTTCAACATGACGCTCACTTCCCAACTTACTGTACCTGGTATTCCCAAGCGGTCACCCATCTAGGTACTGATCAGGCTCGACGTTGCTTAACTTCGATGATCGTACGGGAACTGGTGTTTCAACATGACGCTCACATCCCAACTTACTGTACCTGGCATTCCCAAGCGGTCACCCATCTAGGTACTGATCAGGCTCGACGTTGCTTAACTTCGATGATCGTGCGGGAACTGGTGTTTCAACATGACGCTCACATCCCAACTTACTGTACCTGGTATTCCCAAGCGGTCACCCATCTAGGTACTGATCAGGCTCGACGTTGCTTAACTTCGATGATCGTACGGGAACTGGTGTTTCAACATGACCCTCACATCCCAACTTACTGTACCTGGTATTCCCCAAGCGGTCACCCATCTAGGTACTGATCAGGCTCGACGTTGCTTAACTTCGATGATCGTACGGGAACTGGTGTTTCAACATGACGCTCACATCCCAACTTACTGTACCTGGCATTCCCAAGCGGTCACCCATCTAGGTACTGATCAGGCTCGACGTTGCTTAACTTCGATGATCGTACGGGAACTGGTCTTTCAACATGACGCTCACATCCAACTTACTGTACCTGGTATTCCCAAGCGGTCACCCATCTAGGTACTGATCAGGCTCGACGTTGCTTAACTTCGATGATCGTACGGGAACTGGTGTTTCAACATGACCCTCACATCCCAACTTACTGTACCTGGTATTCCCAAGCGGTCACCCATCTAGGTACTGATCAGGCTCAACGTTGCTTAACTTCGATGATCGTACGGGAACTGGTCTTTCAACATGACGCTCACATCCAACTTACTGTACCTGGTATTCCCAAGCGGTCACCCATCTAGGTACTGATCAGGCTCAACGTTGCTTAACTTCGATGATCGTACGGGAACTGGTCTTTCAACATGACGCTCACATCCCAACTTACTGTACCTGGCATTTCCCAAGCGGTCACCCATCTAGGTACTGATCAGGCTCGACGTTGCTTAACTTCGATGATCGTACGGGAACTGGTCTTTCAACATGACGCTCACATCCAACTTACTGTACCTGGCATTCCCAAGCGGTCACCCATCTAGGTACTCATCAGGCTCGACGTTGCTTAACTTCGATGATCGTACGGGAACTGGTCTTTCAACATGACGCTCACATCCAACTTACTGTACCTGGTATTCCCAAGCGGTCACCCATCTAGGTACTGATCAGGCTCAACGTTGCTTAACTTCGATGATCGTACGGGAACTGGTCTTTCAACATGACGCTCACATCCCAACTTACTGTACCTGGCATTCCCAAGCGGTCACCCATCTAGGTACTGATCAGGCTCGACGTTGCTTAACTTCGATGATCGTACGGGAACTTGTGTTTCAACATGACCCTCACATCCCAACTTACTGTACCTGGTATTCCCAAGCGGTCACCCATCTAGGTACTGATCAGGCTCGACGTTGCTTAACTTCGATGATCGTACGGGAACTGGTGTTTCAACATGACGCTCACATCCCAACTTACTGTACCTGGCATTCCCAAGCGGTCACCCATCTAGGTACTGATCAGGCTCGACGTTGCTTAACTTCGATGATCGTACGGGAACTGGTGTTTCAACATGACGCTCACATCCCAACTTACTGTACCTGGCATTCCCAAGCGGTCACCCATCTAGGTACTGATCAGGCTCGACGTTGCTTAACTTCGATGATCGTACGGGAACTGGTGTTTCAACATGACGCTCACATCCCAACTTACTGTACCTGGCATTCCCAAGCGGTCACCCATCTAGGTACTGATCAGGCTCGACGTTGCTTAACTTCGATGATCGTACGGGAACTGGTGTTTCAAATATGACCCTCACATCCCAACTTACTGTACCTGGTATTCCCAAGCGGTCACCCATCTAGGTACTGATCAGGCTCGACGTTGCTTAACTTCGATGATCGTACGGGAACTGGTGTTTCAACATGACGCTCACATCCAACTTACTGTACCTGGTATTCCCAAGCGGTCACCCATCTAGGTACTGATCAGGCTCGACGTTGCTTAACTTCGATGATCGTACGGGAACTGGTGTTTCAACATGACGCTCACATCCAACTTACTGTACCTGGTATTCCCAAGCGGTCACCCATCTAGGTACTGATCAGGCTCGACGTTGCTTAACTTCGATGATCGTACGGGAACTGGTGTTTCAACATGACGCTCACATCCAACTTACTGTACCTGGTATTCCCAAGCGGTCACCCATCTAGGTACTGATCAGGCTCAACGTTGCTTAACTTCGATGATCGTACGGGAACTGGTGTTTCAACATGACGCTCACATCCCAACTTACTGTACCTGGCATTCCCAAGCGGTCACCCATCTAGGTACTGATCAGGCTCGACGTTGCTTAACTTCGATGATCGTACGGGAACTGGTCTTTCAACATGACGCTCACATCCAACTTACTGTACCTGGTATTCCCCAAGCGGTCACCCATCTAGGTACTGATCAGGCTCGACGTTGCTTAACTTCGATGATCGTACGGGAACTGGTCTTTCAACATGACGCTCACATCCAACTTACTGTACCTGGTATTCCCAAGCGGTCACCCATCTAGGTACTGATCAGGCTCGACGTTGCTTTACTTCGATGATCGTACGGGAACTGGTCTTTCAACATGACGCTCACATCCAACTTACTGTACCTGGTATTCCCAAGCGGTCACCCATCTAGGTACTGATCAGGCTCGACGTTGCTTAACTTCGATGATCGTACGGGAACTGGTCTTTCAACATGACGCTCACATCCAACTTACTGTACCTGGTATTCCCAAGCGGTCACCCATCTAGGTACTCTGTGATGTGGCCGTCAGCAATTATACTGTTCTGTTCATGTGCATCCTTCAAGCGATACAAATTAAGCCCCGCGGTTATATTTGAAGAGTCGATAGTTTTTCTACTAATTAATAAATTCAGGTCTCATTAACTCCTTTGTCTAAATGTCTTTAAATTATATATTACTATTTCTTGAAGTAGGACCCTTGATTGCACGCTTTTGCGCGTACAAGTTTAGTTTATTCAAAATAAGATTATCGTTTAAAAATATGTGCAAACATACTTGCGATATTGAATCGATTATTGATACTATGATTTCTCCAGGCGTCGTCTAACACAGATGTCTCAACACAATGACAATTCTCCTGTTCTGTTTATGCAGGCCACGCTTTGATGAACGTATACCATTAAATGCATTAATAATATTTAACTATGAACAACTAATTTCTCGCTTGGTTCACTTCAAACGTTTGCGTCCTACTTGGTTTATCTGAAATTCTCTCTATGCATATGAGGCTGATTCAAAAGTTTCCAGTGTTACATTTATTTTATTAAGGTTGATGCAAAAGTTTCCAGTGTTACTTTTTGGTTTTATTAAGGGTGATGGAAACGTTTCCAGCGTTACTTTTTTTTTCATTAAGGTTCATGCAAAAGTTTCCAGTGTTACATTTTGTTTTTATTAAGGTTGATGCAAAAGTTTCCAGTGTTACTTTTTTTTATTAAGGTTGATGCATCAGATCCCAGTGTTACTTTTTTTTATTAAGGCTGATGCAAAAGTTCCCAGTGTTACTTTTTGGTTTTATTAAGGTTGATCGTAAGTTTCCAGTGTTACTTTTTTTTAAGGCTGATGCAAAATTTTTCAGTGTTACTTTTTATCAATCCAAAAGTTACTTTGCATTGTTGCCAATCCCGTTGTTATTGACGTACATATACTTGCAGTTGACGTATATATCAAAACACCATGAAATATCGCCAACACGGACAAATAGAGGTAATTTCCAAAGCGTAGATTTTATAACTGTTTAAAAACCTTAGTATTGAAAGGGCACCAACACTAACATTTGGAGCCAAACTTCAAAGTAGGGATCTTATTCTTGCATTAAAAATATCTATCTTCAAAACATGAATTTTATTCCAGCTTTAAAAATATTATTTATGAACCTAGAATTGACAGGGTTCCCAGTCTGATTACTGGAATCAATCTTCAAATCTGAAAATTTATGCTTGCTTTATAAAAGTGGTCTAATAATTTTAGAATGCTCCAACACGACCAACAGAGAACATTCTTTAATCCGGCAATTTTATGCCTGCTTTAAAAAATAGCATTGGAAATCCTAGTATTGAAAAGACACCAGCATTAACTACTGAAGTAAATCTTCAAAGAGGAGATTTTATAACTATATAAAACATTTGAAATCCTAGACTTTACAGAGCCCAACACGGAATACTAGAAACAAATTTCAAAGCGGAAATTCTCTGCCTACTATAAAAATTGATCTCCCAGAATTGAAAGGGCTCTAACACGGATTATTGGAGTCAATTTAAAAAAAAAAAGGCATATGAAATACTGGAAATGACAGTGCTCTAACACGGTCAAATGGAGTCAATAATCAAAGCGGTTATTTTATGCCTGTTTAAAAAACGGCATTTGAAAATCTGGAATTAAAAGTTCGCCAACCCGGACTACTGGTGCCATTTTTCAAATCGGATAATTTATGCCGGTTTTAAAAAGTGGAGATTTTTCGATTCCTTTAAAAATACTTTTTGAAATTCTATAATTGACAGTGCTCCAACATGGACTGCTGGAGTCTACCTTCAAAGCGGATATTTTATGCCTACTTTTAAAATCATAGAATTGAAAGTATTCCAACACTGACTACAGGAATAATTCTGCAAATATGCCTGCTTTAAAAAATAACATTTGAAATCCTGTACATTGACGGGGCTACAACACGGACTACTGGAGCCAATCGAGAAAGCGGATTGTTTATGTCTGCTTTTAAAATCCTAGAAAGGAGTCCAAGACGACCTACTGGAATCATTCTCAAATCTGAGACGTTATACTTGCTTTAAAAATAGCATATGAAATCCTAGTATTGAAATGACATCAACACGAACAAATGGGGCCAATCTTCAAGAATGAAATCTTATGACATTTTAAAAGGTAGCATATAAAATCTTGGAATAGAATGGTCGCCAAACTGGACTACTGGTTTCATTCGTCAAATCAGATATTTTATGCCGGCTTTACAAAATGGCATTTGCAAGCCAACAATTTGCAACGTTCCAGCACGGACAACTGGAGACAAAATTCAAAGTTGATATTTGACGGTTGTTATGTAAGAATGGCATTTCAAATAATAGTATTGAAAAGGCACCAACAAGAACTACTAGAGCCACACTTCAAACGGGAAATGTTATACATAGATACAAAAGATAGCATGCATATAAAATCCTGGAATTGAAATGTCGTTAACAGCGACTGCTGGTGTCATCATTAAAATCGGATGTTTTTATAACTGCTTTAAAAATTAGTATTTAAAATCCTAACATCGAAAAAGCATCTAAATGAACAACTGATGCCAAACTTGCAAACCTAGAAGTTATGCCACTTTAAAAGATAACATATAGAATCCTGGAATTGAAAGGTCGGCAAAACGGACAACTGGTGCCATTCTTCAAATGGTACTTTAAATCAGAAAAAAATGACAACAAACCAACATGGGCAAGTAAAGCCAAGAGGCAATTTTATGTTAGCTTTAAATAGTAGTATATGATAATGCTATAATTGAAATGGCGCTAAAACGCGTAAATGGAGCCAATCTTCAAAGCGGATATTTTATGACTTCTTCTGAAATCCTAGAATTCCAAGTTTTCAACATGGACTGATGGAATCATTATGTAAATTAGAGATTTAATGCCTGCTTTATAAAATAGCACTTGAAATCCTAGTATTGAAAATGCAGCAAAACAAACGACAGAACCCAAACAGATTAAAAGATTGAAATTGAAAGGTGGCCAAGACGAACTAATTTTGCCTTACTTCATATCGTATACTTATTACGTCTTTAAAAAATGTATTTTAAATCCGAAATCTGACAGATCTCCAACACGGATTTTATGATGGCTTTAAAGAATATCATATGAAATCCTGTACTTGAGAGGGCCCCAATACGGGTCACTGCAACCAATCTTCAAAGCGACTATTTTATGCTTTCTTTTAATATCGTAGAATTGAAAGTGTTCTAAAATGGTCTACTAGAATCGTTCTGCAAATCGGAGATTTTATGTCTGCTTTAAAAAATGGCATTTGAAATCCTTGTATTGACAGGACACCAACACTAACTGTTGCGGCCAATATTCTAAGCAAATAATTTATGCCTCTTTAAATGGTTGCAGATAAATATCTGAAATTGAAAGTTCGGCAACCAATTGTTACTTTAAAGAATAACATTTGAAATCCTAGAATTGTAAATGATCCAAAACGGACTACTGGAGCCAATCTTCAAAGCGGATCTTTTATGTCTGTTCTTAAAATCCTAGATTTAAAAGTGTTCCAACCTAAACTACTGAAATTATACTGAGAATTTTACTTACTTTAAAAAATCCTATGATATCCTTATTTTGAAAAAGCATCCAATACAGACTACTGGAGACAATCCTTAAAGTGGAGATTTTATGCATCTTTAAAATATATCATATAATATTCTGAAATGGGTCTGCTACAACCATGAAATCTTGTATCATTCTTCACATCGGATACTTTGTACCGGCTTTAAAAATGGCATTTGAAATCTAAGTATTGATTGGGCTCCATCACTAAGTATTGGAGTCTCTCTTCAAAATGGAGATTTTATGTTTGCTTTAAAGAATCGTAATTGAAATCCTATAATCGACAGGGCTCCAACACGGGTAACTGGAACCAATCTTCAAAGCAGATATTTTATGATTGCTTTTAAAATCCTAGATTTATAAACAATTTATGGATTTGTTTTTTACGGCTTATCAACCCTTTTGGGAATTACTTAAAGTCGAAACATATTTCGGATTGCACAATGTTGTTTACAGTACCCGCTGTTCCTAAGCGATCTCTCATCTAAGTAATGGCCGGGCCCGAGACTACTTAACTTGTTTTTTTTTTTATCGTAAGGCCGTGTCAAACGACGCCATGTTTAAATATAATCCGGAAAACTGGTGAGAGACAAATAAATATGTTGGGAGTTTCATTTATGCTGCAAGAGGCTACGACGAAAAGATTATTTGAATCCTGAATAAATTTTCGCAAAATTAAAAGATATTTTTTATTAAAAAAAAAAGATAAGCATATTTTTATACAACTGGTACCTGATGTTTGAAATGATTTTCCCCTTGCAGCAAGTTTTAACATAAATGGATTGTAAACTGTATAATCAGAGATCCAGTTATTTTCCTTGAGTAGCCGATAGGATTGTCTTGGTTATTGCAACTATATTTTTCAAACAGTGGTTTCATTAACCTAAGTGTTACTTCGTATCTGAGTTTTAGGAATATGGCCAAATATTTGTCCAAGGTCTCATGCACTTCTTTTATTGAGTTTCCACCTTTTTGTTTAATTTCCTGATATGGTTAAAACAAAGAGTACAGCGAAGTGTGGCAATAAAATATACGCATGGGAAAAATCATATCACTAAAATAATTGAATATACTTATTCTAAATTCGCCTCACAATCTACCTATTTACTTACCAGTATTATAAACTTGCACACACACACACACACACACACATGTGTATATATATATATATGTGTGTGTGTGTGCGAGTGAAGATATATTAATTTTATATATATGAACAATGTTAGAAAAGTAATGTCAATTATATTTTCATTTAAAAGTCGACAATTTCAGTGTCATAAATTTTCAGCGTTTACTGTCAATGAATAATTATGCCCAACGTTTGCGTTTTTTTTTATATTCCTCCC